GAGTTACACGCTCCTTGATAAGAGCTGTTTCACTATCTGCGAAAGAGAACTTCGTGTTCGAAGGTGAAAAAGTGAAATCAATCATGCCTGGGGCACGTTGCTTCACGGCCTTGATAAGCCTGTTCACCGCATAGCGGGAACCCATAGCCCTAGTACAACCAGAGTCAAGTATGACAAAGGTAGGGCTCTTATCAAGATTGATCCGCTCTGTGAGAGCAGATAGGACGGTGTGCTGCAACGGAAACACTGCTGTTGCAGTCTCCACACCTTGCCCCTCGGATGGTTCAGAGACCTGGGGCACGTAACTCACTGATGAGTTGTACACGGGTTCTTGGTGCGCGCTCGGATCTGTGCCTCTACCTGATGATCCTGCTTGATTTCTTCTCTTCTTTCTCCGTGTTTTTCTTCGTGAGGCTTGTGATGCATAGTATGTATAAGACGTTTGATCGTCATAAGCGGCATAATTCCAACTGGAGTCAGTATAATAACTGTCCTCATACCATGAATCCCAGCTCGGTGCGGTGGAACTTTCATAGGCCTGTGGAGATCCAGTTTGGTCTCCTTGTAAGGAGGCAGACTTAGCTGTATCCTTACCTTTGCCTTTTGCCTTTGCGCCTTTGAAGGAGCTTCCTTTATCTCCTTTGTCCTTTCCTTTTCCTTTGCCTTTTCCACCTTTTCCTTTTTCCTTTCCTTTACCTTTACCGAAATAGCTGGAATCAGTTGGATCATGTTCTGCCTGGTTGGCTCTCCCTTTTCCGCGGTATGACCTAAAACGGCCACGTCCTTTTCGCTTGCCACCCTTTGCTCTTCCCGGTGATCCGGGACGCATTCTTGGTCTTCTTCCCTTTTTGAATCTCCTTGCAACGAAGGCTTCATGGTCGTCAACTGTCCAGAAGACAGCTTCTTCATCCTCGGCGGCAAGAAAGCCTTCCTCAAGGGTGTCTTCGTCTTGGAGCCAGAATCCATCGACTCCGTCGTATTCACCCTGATCGAGGATGAGGAAGTTTCGACCTCCGCGTTTGCGGCGTTGGTCTCTCCTTCCATGGCGGTCCTTCTTGTGAGAAGAGTGCCGAATGTTGGGATCCTGCAGACCAGTTCTGGTCGTTGAGAACTGATCGAACATGGTCTGCCGTACCACAGGGTACGTATAGGTCTCAATTCGGTGACCTTGGTTGGTCAATGCTGTTACCAACCTCTCACGTTGCATCTCATTTAGGTCGGACTGCACTAGGAAGAGAAGAGCTAGGAGATTATCATTCAGAGGAAACGCTCTTCGATGATTGTCAAGGCGTTCCTTGTTCCATGTTTCGAAATAGCGTGCGGCGTATGTGTCTCTCTCGGCTGCTTCCTGTAGGCCCAGGAAGGTTCGGTCTGCCTGCACAGCTTGCATGAAATCTGGATGGGCATCTTCCAGAGCTATCTCTGGTAAGAGATCCATCCATGAGTTTTTCACGCGCTGTAGCACGATCTCAAACTTAGCAATCCAAGTCACAAAGTCTTGGTTGCCCTTCCATGCCTTGAATAGGCCGAGGAAACGCCACAGGAAAACGTACTGTTCTCCTTTCACGAAAAATGGACGCATCTTCTTCTTGAAGTAATCTACTCCATCTGGGGCTGCAAGCCTTTCTCGGTTCAGTGATTCCTTTTGTACTGCGGCCAATCCGGAGAGCCTCGTCTTGAGAGACGGACCTCTTTTGGTGTCATCCAGCGTTGTTATGTCGCACCAGTCGTCAATCAACTGTTCATACTCAAACCACGAGGTGGTGCCATCATAGGCAGGCGCGATCTTGGGCGTTATGCCTAATGATGCAAGCATGCGGTCAGATGTTGCATATGACTGTGCGACATAAGTAGCTGGACCTTGGGAGGTCTCTTCGTTCTCATATCCCCCGGAGGATTGGGAACTGCCGTCGGCTTCGCTATGCGAGCTCGACATTGTGCTGCCTCTTATCCGCTTGGTCAAGCGTTCGGCGAGGCCGACCGCTGTAGCGGACTTTGTGAGGCGGGCGGCCCTTTCCGGGCTCCGCTACCAGAAAACTGTGCCGATACACCCACAAGGAATACTCCTTGTTAGGAGGTGTATGACCAGTTATTCCCTAAGGATCAAAGGGCAGCGCCCTGCACACGGACAGTAGTTGTTTTGTCTTGCTACGCAAGGAGAGCTTGTCTTGTCTCAATATGGTAAAACCACTGTGAGCCAATGGGCAGCGGAATGTATATGTATGAGCATGCAGCCATTGCTGTAGGTACCTGTTAGAGCTACCCCTTTAGAGGTTTATGGTTTCCCCCCCCCCTCCCCCCCCTCCCCCCCCTCCCCTACCCATTCCTCGCACTTCGTCAACAACCGGGTTTGACAGGCCGCCCTAGCATAAAAAAACATCGACTGCCCCCTCACCCTGCCGCTACACAGCCGAGGCGGGCGGCGTAGCGTTAAAATTACTTCAGCTACATGGATAATTTCGAACGACGTTCATCCTTGGCCACATTCCCGAATGCGCGGGCCGGACCGTCGTCCAGCATTGGCGACCGCGACCCCACCATGGTGCGTACTCTACAGCCGCAATTTCGCGGCACTGTTTCATCGGGTACTTTCATCAAGGACCCAAGGTCTTCTTCGCAACTCTGCATGTCGTCATGCTCTCAACTTTGCCGTCAATGCTACTGTTCACTCACTGTATCTGCGCGGCCTCTGTTTCATGGGTCACACGTCAAGTCTCCATCAAAAGTAGTTTCAGCTACATGGATAACTTCGAACGACGTTCATCCTTGGCCACACCGCCCAATGTGCGGGCCCTGCAGGCTGTTGGACCGTCATCTGTTGGACCGTCATCCAGTATCAGCGACGGCGACCCCACCAGGGTGTGCACTCTACAGCGGCAATTTCGGGGCACTGCTTCATCGGGCACTCACTCTGCATGTCGTCATGCTCATGCTCTCAACTTTGCTGTCCATGCTGCGGCTCATCACTGTATCTGCGCGGCATCTGTTTCATGGGTCACACGTCAAGAGTCAAGTGTTCATCAACATTAGCTTCGGCTACATGGATAACTTCGAACGACGTTCATCCTTGACCACACCGCTATACACGGCTCGCTGCTCGACGTGCGGCCTCTTGCGTGGGCAACTGTGGTACCACCATCTGGTTGGGTGCACTAGTATTCGCAATTATCACACTCGCTGGCCTGCGCACTGCTTCAGCGGATATTATGCATGACCAAAAGCCGCTTGTCAACCATGGTGATAAACATAGACAATCATCCAAGGACCTTTCAGCCTTCCAATTCATCGTCCGACTCGTTCCCGGCGAGGTTATCTACAACCATTCTTCAGTCGTAGGTAGCCACGCAGCGACGCTTCCACAGCTAGCACAAAGGAACAACATAGCCGCTTTGCGGCAGCATGCTCTTTGAATCTCTACTGACAGATCTCTGTGCGGTCGGCCACGGCCGGCTGCAATGTCGGGCCACTTTTTCGGTTTGCGGTAGATGCAACTCTGCCACAACAAGCCGTACGTAGAGATCATCCTGCCCTCCCAAGCCAGTGTCATGCGAAGCTCGCAACAAAGTTTAAGGATGCTCCTGCTTGTAGCTAATTGCCGTGAATGTTTCACAATTTTCACACCGTTAGGCAACCAATCAACTGAGCATGACTGCAGTCTCACAAAATTCGTGCATTCGTCACTGTCGCAGTCGAAAATGAAACTCTGACGGCTGAGGGTCCAGCAGGCGGCAAAGATCGACAAGGGCAACCCTGGCACCAAGCAACACTTTTGGGGGTCAGATGGGGTCAGTCATCATGGCACCTTGCACAAACAACACATGAAGAAGCTCAGGCGTGAACACGAAATCAGACTTAAATTTGTGCATGCATACATACATACATACATACAGGCAAGTTGCCTTTATATTACACTACATACACTACTTACATTACATACATGACACACACACACACACACACACACATTTTGCACATTACACACATTACATACATCACACACATGACTCACATTGCATGCATACAATACAATACACTACAACACTAGACAATACAATACAACACCACGCAAGACAATACTAAAACAATAACACATACGTACAAACATACATACATACATACATACATACATACATCATACATACATACACAAACATACACACATACATACATTCATATGGACGGACGGACAGACATACGGCCTTACCGACATACCGACCTTCAGGCGTTCAGACATACAGACATGCACGCGTGAGTATGGGCGTACATGCCTGCTGCCTGCAGCTTTCATGGTGGGCGGGTTGGGGAAGTGGCACAAAAGTGGCTCAGTGAAGCCACAAACATTCAGACCATCGAACGTTCAAAACCCAAGTGCCCATGCTTGTGTTCTCGAGGCCCAAGCCAACGATGAAAAGGAGACCCACGGCTTTAACCTTGGACTTTTCGGGCGAGGTCAAAACAACACAGAACCGCTGCACAACAAGTGCAGCCCCGCATCGAATCCCGGCAAAAAGCCTGTCAAGGATCTTCATAAACTCAAGACAGGACACTGTCCACGGAAGGCTCTTCCTGAAACACACAATGCGAGGGATTGTCTGCACTTTCCGGCAACCTGAAAGGAGCACAGGCATGACAACATCACTTCGAGGCCCTGACAGCTGCTCACTAAATGACGGCTTTGGTCGCGGCTTGCTTGGATCGTGCCTTACAAGTACAGTGAGCAAATTCCAGTGTTCCAGTGTTCTAGCTGGAAGTCGCAAGTCTGGGTGAACTGCACCGGAGCCGTTTTCCACCCACCGGTGGCAAACCTCACAAACTGCGCCAGCAGCGGAATTCTGAGAGACCTCCCCGGCGACTTTCAAGCCAAGGAGCTCCAAGAGGCTCTGGAAAGAACGATCTCCCGAGTAACTGCCACGAGCCACACTATGCTTCGATTCGATCTCAAACTCAAGGTCTCAAGGCATGCGGCTTCAAGGGTTTGCCTCCTCATCTCTCTGCCCTCGTCATTGAGCCTAGCGACTCACACCGCAAGTGAACTCCAGACGTCATCACGCGAGCGAGAGCAGGCAGGCAGCATTGAACAGCTGAGGCAGACACATGAGGAGCGTCGGATATCCGGAAATGCCGAAGCGCTTGTTGAGGGCAGGGTTCTTGGTCGAATCGACTCCTCGAAAGGGTGCAAGAGTCTTGCCACTCCGTGGATTCAAGCCTGCCCTGCCCTGTCTAGTCCAAGGCCGTCACTGCCAACGCGAATACCATCCTCAAAAAGCGAACGCTACAAATTGCTGCACACGATAAGTGCAATGCAGTGCGAGGCCAGCGCCGGCAATTCCTCTTGGGCGACCCGATGGAAATCCTGGCACAATCTTGGAGTTCCAATCTCAGCCGTGTCTGTCGAGCCGACAGCCTTCGCCATGTTCTTGCAATGCGAGCACCATGGAGCAAAGAACCTGGCACTCACACTTGAAGGCATGCATGCCAGGGGAGTGAATCGCCGACTAGCTCGAGTTGACGTGCTGAGCGTGCTGCTTCACGAAGATCGGGCCCTGCTTCAAGACTTCGTCGATGTTGCTGGTCTCGGCTCGACTTTCAGAGGCACATGTCGCGAGGCAGTACCAGACTAGCTGGCCGACACAGGCTCTGCGGCCCAGACATCCACATCGATCCAGCCCCATTTGCCCTCCTTCGCACACAAGAGCCACTTGTCGCCTGTGAACTCTTTTCATTCTCTGCTTCCTTCATGACTTTTGCTGAGCCACTTTCTCGCATGGGCTTCGTCTCTTCTTCCTCCACACTCTACTCCCCCTTGTATGGCCCCCGACACTCTTGGCCCAACTCTCGCCATGAAGGTTCGGGGGTCGATGCCCCCTAAACGCCTCCTAGCGCGCCCTGCCTATACTCCCCCTTAGCCGAACCCTTGCACTACCGAGGCAGCCGACAAGACAAGCACAGCATGACAAGGCAAATACATTTCAACAGGTAAGGCCTTTGGTTAGGGTCGGAGCCTGCGTGCATTCGTCTTCTGAATTGCGCGATGACTGCAAGCTGCACGATCCATCGGCCGTCAGTACCGCTGGGCAAGGAATGCCGGATCTCCGGCCAAATATTCGGAATCCCGCCGGGTCAGCTCCATCGCTGCTGCCGTTATTCCGGGCTTGGGGATTCACAGCGAGCGACTACTCCTGTTGAGATGGAGGGGACTGGCCTTCCGGGTTGCGATGGCACGAATCTGTGAGAGTTCAGAGGTTGCCAGCAGCTGCTAGCCGTTGAAGTTAACGGCTTCGTCGCCGCTGAAAGCTAGAGCTGTGAGGCTATGTAACCAAAAAAAGTAGAAAGCGTATGCACTCGCCAAAGTGCACAGGATATGCGAAAGTACACACAACTTGGCGAAGTCCCGATCTTCTAAGCTTGGTTTGGAGTTCTCTCTTCCACCTGCATCACGGCACGAAAGCCCTTCCCTTGCGCTCGGCCTCAACAGCCGCACCCGCAGCCGCCACATGCACGGCCAGTATCTTGAAGAGGCCCATTAGCCCCATCAGTTCTCTAGGCTTGACGTCGCATGAAGATGCTGCACTGATTTCTTCCCAGATCTTGTGTGGAAGACCCTGGAACGGGTGACTCTGCTCGAAGGTGAGATATGCACCTTGTCCGGGCAGGGAACTGCTGGCAATGCTCCAGAGTTGGGCATGCGCTTTGATTTTGGAAGAGCGTATTGCTCCGTTCGGCTAGGACAGCTCAACTAATTTCATGCAAACACCCAGCATGACGACCTCATGCTCAACTTATCTTGGGTGTGCAACCTTCTGAGCATGTGGAAAAGACATGGAATGCGCAAGGTTTTCGGAAATTTGAAGAAGCCGTGTCTGGCACGTGCCATGATGCAGCAGAAATACAAATGCGGAGATCGGACCTTTTCACCTCTGCCCTGCTGTCCTGCTGTCAGCTTGATGGCCCCAGCTCGCGGAACTTGAGATTCTGCCTGCCCTCAGGCAAACGCGAGCTTACACACTTCACTGATTCGGAACCGTCGCCATCAGAGGCTGGGCCGCTCGGATTCAGGGTTTCAGCCAAGTATCAAATTTTCAGAATGCTTTCTGTGACTACTGTCATGACATTCACAATCTTATTGCTTGCAGTATGTACGTTCCGAGCATTCCATGCTCGAATTTGAAACGGATGATGAGCCACATTCATGGCTTCAAGCCCCTGCCTCAGCCGTCTCCAGCTGACGCGATCCAGACATGTCCTTCGTCTTTATCTCGGCTTGTCGGTTCTGAAGCGTCTTGAAGCAGACGAGGTTGCGGTCTTGGAACACATCCCGTTCGATCTCATTGTCGACCATGGTCTTCTTGGCTGCCGTGAGCTGGGGCTCGTGCTGTTCCACATTCAACAACGCTTCTGCCCTGCGGCTCTCGCATGCTTTCTGAAGGTCTGTGGCAGCTTGCAAGGCCTCTGCCTCCTGTTGCTGCACCTGCTTTGCGGCATCCAGATCTCTGGCGGCACTGTCGACTGCCTGCTGCCGTGCTGCGGCACTTGGCTCACCCGACTGGATGATCTCAACCAAGTCCGCGACTCGCTTGGCAATCTTGTCCTGGAGCTGCGCAACCACCATGGTGTCAAAGGATCCACGTTCAGCAGGCTTCTTTACCATACAGGTAGGCAGGGCTGACATCAAGCTGGCTTCCAAGTCAAGATTGCTGGCCAATACTTCCAGCTTCTTGTAGTGGGTTTCCGCAAGTGCTCCTTCAACCTCACCGTCTCGAAGCAAGCGAAAATCTTCGGAGAGTGCTCCTTCAAGAGCGACTTTCTCCGCCTTCGCGGCCTGAAAAGCAACATCTCCTTCCTTCTGCACTTTCTCCTTGTCACCCAAATTCGATTTGCAAGCAAGAACTGCTTTGGTGGCATCAGCCAACTTTACTTTGCACTCGACCGCATTGGTTGTTGCAGCTTGCAGGGCTTCGTCACACTCCGTCACTTTCAATTCCAAGCTAGACTTGGATGCTTCGATGCGGGCGACTTCTGCCGAAGCAGCATCCACGCTGTCGTTTAACTTCTTCAAGATGCCCTCAAAGATCTCGGAGACCATGTTCACATAACTCGATTGGGCCTTGTGCCGCTTGTCTTCTGGAACACAGAGGCCCTGGCAGCAAAAAGACTCAGCTAAACCTGCTGATCTACTGGCACGGTATGTGCAAGCGGAGCTGTATCTGCCTCTGGAAGCATTGCCAAAAGCATCCGGCGAACGGAGACCGGCAAGTTCTCTGCCAACGGGTGCTGGATGGCTTCGACGATGCCTTGGAAGCACGATGAGGCGAGGAGGCAGGAGGGCTTGGAGCTGGCGGCGATGAATTCAGGACCCAAGTGGCCATCGTAAGTTGACTTCGCCACGCCGTGCTTCCGCAGCATCTCCTTCTGCTTCTTGGCCTCGCTCGCTGCGGGCTCCTGCTGTGGGACTCAGAAAGGACAACTGCGACAGCCACCGGGAAACATCACCTGGCCTGAGCTGGGCGCTTCGTGCCCTTCTGAACCTTCGACACCATTGCTCCAAGTCCAGAGACACGTAGAGGACGGGAGGCACCAGGCAATGCTTCAAGCTGCAGTTCGGGTCAACGTATTCTGTGCACGCAGCATAGACGAGCAGACAGGACTACTAGCTTGAAGCTCACCTTTTGTGGCACATAGCATCTTTGAGCACTCAAGTATTGCTTCTTAGAAGCAATGTCGAGTCAACATAGAACTTCCGTTCCTCCGATGCCCATGCCCGGTGTCACCAAGCCTGAGTATGTCCCTCATCGGAACAGACTCAAAAAGTTGTGAAAAGATGACTGCTGACTGATCGAAGGAGCGAACGCTCGCAAGGTGCCAGCTACAGGGCGCTGATACGCCGCTCGCGCAGGATCTACGCAAGGAAGACCGATGCTGGTTTCAGCTTGGCATCTCATCTACTAACCGTGGCAAGCAGCTCCGCGACGATTGTCGACTCTGCAGAAGAGCATTGTAGCGCAACATAGCGCAACCAGCTATGGCGCACACTTAGATCATTGCTGTGGCATCTTTTGTGAAGCATCGCGTTGACGGCACGGAGCTCATCTCACAAAGGCTACGAGTACGAGGCTGGTCTCCTTTCAAGTTCAACGCAGCTAGCGCACAGCTATGTCTGCCCCAAGATCTTCAGAGCGAAAGAAGCCGGTTGCCTCAGCTGGAGGCTTCGAAGGAGGGAATAGCCGAGCCTCGGCAACGCTTTACCACTCGTCCCCTGAAATGCTCAACTTGTGCAAATCAGAAAAATCTACTGTCCGGATGCTGTCGGGACGTGAAGCAAGCACTAGCGAGCAAAGCCCGACTCCCTGAGATCCCCTGAGCCCGGCTCAGTCCCATCCAAACGTGAACTCCACGTCTGCTGGCTCAGCTTCGTCTGCGATAAGATCGTCGGTTTGAGTCCTACCAGTCTGTGGCACTCCCCCTGACTTCGACCCTGAGTATGGAGGTTTGAATTGCGAATTGCGACTGGTCCAGTCCTGAGCTTCTTTGCCAAGGCCAGGAACCCATCGATGCTTCGATCGACATCAGTCGCTTGCATCGCTATCGCCTGTCAAGACGGGTCAAGACGAGAATTGACCGAACCGACCCCTGACAAGGAGTTCCATCTACGCACACCCTTGTCTTCACTGCTCCAGGCAAAGGCCTGTCTGATGCCGGTCAGTGCCATCACCGCCTGGTCCATGCCTCACATCATGCCGAGAATGCTGGCTGCCAGCAGCTCTGACAAAGCTTCAGCAAAGCCTGCCTTGTAGCAGCGTTGTAGGTTGTAGCTTCTCTTCAAAGGCAGGCTCCTCGAAAATCGGAGCAGCTCCACCGTCCGACGAGGTCTCGCCTGCACAAGACAGATGGTCCCGCACGAAACGCAGCTGCTTGAAAATCTCATGGAATGCACAGCACCCACCTTGTGTCGCTAGTGGCAGGACAACCTGGGGACACCACAGCTGCGGCTTCGTGATCCTTCTAATTCAGCATGGCCAATGGTGGCTTGCTGCGGCCGTGTGAATCCCGCTGCTTGCAGTCTTCTACCAGCCTCCACGCCAGCTTCTTGTACAGAGTTGGGCTGAGACTCTTCCTCCTCCCAACGGGCCAGTAAAACACGCAAACCAAACAGTGCACGTGAACCGCTCGAACAGACTACGAGCTGCGAGGGAGGGAGGGTGAGTACTGGCCTTCCCCGGCCCGGTCAGAGCCCAGAGCAGAGCCCTTTCGGAAAAGGCAAAGACTGCTCGGTGCTCGGGTCTCCCGGCCTCAACGTCTTTGACGGCTTCGGCAGGGCTGCCTGGCGCCTGAGCCAAACCGCCCTCGCCTCTCTTAGAAACCGGAAACTGATGAAAGCTGCGAGGTTCGAGTGTTTGATAAAAGCAACACAGCAAAGTGAGGTCTGGAGTCCTAAGACTCTGGGATTGAGCGGAACAAAGCCTTGGCATCAGACAGCCGGGTCCCGCCTTGTCGATGGTCTCCTGAAGCCAACCTCTGCTGCTCTGGCGAAAGGCAACAAAAAGCCCGAAACGCGCTCTTCTCCCGGGATGCGCCGGGTGCGGCCAAGGGGCTTTCAGAGAGAGTGCCATGCATCGCCTTCCTGATCTCCATGATGTCCATGAGACAGCGCTGCAGGGCAACCCATCATGAAAAGACAGGTTCAATCGCACGAACACACCTCTTCGTGATCCACCCACATGGTTCGACCCTCTGGCCTGCTTGTTAATGCCGGCCATCAAATCCGCGCTGTAGTGCAGCAGCATCAGCAGGCAATTGTTCATCTCGGCCTAGCAGGAGGACAAGCGGCCCAAAGTATCTCAGCGACAACATGTCTGTGCATCACAGCTTGGGTGACTTTTAATGCACATGACGGCTGCTTGACTGGACTCACCAAGGCTGAAAAGGAAGATTGAAAAGAGAGCCGGTGCTGTCCCGGAGCCGTGGGCATGATCCTACACTAGCCGCCAGTTCTAGTTCAAACAGCTGGCTAGTTTCGACTCCTTTTGAGATGAATTCAGCCAGCTTGCCGTCAGACTACCTGAGCTTGGGCTGCATTGCCCGCTAACTATGCTGGCATCGACAAACAACATATCTTCTCCCGGAGTCTTATCGGCCTTGTCCTGCTCGGTGCAGAGTAGCGACAATAGCTAACGAGCCTGCACAATCTGCCTCCGGCTACTGCACACTACAATTCCGTTCCCTGTCCGGTGGGCGTCCTTGCTGTGACCTTTCTGGCTCACTTCTGTGAGACATGTGAGCTTCCTCCTCTTGCACATCGTCGTCTACCAGTAGTGTTGCACGAAGCTTCTCGTTGGCCGCCAGTACAGATGGCTTCCGTGTATAGTACAGAACTGGTACCAACATCAAACCAGCTGTGGGATCTCCGAAATGCTGAGCACGCATTGCGAAGCCACGTTGTCCGTAAGGCTGTACTTTCCCGGAAGAAATGAAACTAAAATCTTGTGAGAACACGATGGTATACTCCCAACGCGCAGCTCCATCAAATCCTTGCGGCCATGTAACAACTCCACGAAAGGTTCTCGTGTCCTCCTCATACGAAACCTGCTCAAACGGTTTCCTGCGGGGAGGTGAAGAGCCATCATCCAGACGCCAAGAATCCGGAGCATTTGCATATGATATGTAACAATTGTCCAAGCTGTCGAAATGATAGCTTGCAACCCCTTCATGATGTCCAGCATACACGACCCCTTGGACATACACACTGCCAAAGATCGTGCTGGGCGGAGGAGTCCAGCGCAAATAAGAAAGGTGATGGTCCCACTCATAGATCCAGGGGGCCCGAAACGGTGTGGCTTTTGTCGAGCCGTCAACCGATGTTGCAATTAGATCTCCACCAATAATCCCAGCAAAGTCTTCAGAAAATTGAATTCTGTACACCCACTTCGTCTCTCCATCGAATGGGGTATCCCAAGAGATGACGCCGCGGAAGGTTGAGGTTTCCACGTCAAAGCTGACATCGGTCCAGTACTTTTTGGAAGGTGGCTTGCTGCCGTCATCCAAACCTCAGCAAGAACTCTCAGTGTCTCGATGTATATTCGACTGTCTATGCCATAGTGAATGATGATTGAGAGCCAAGTCTCGCCAGTGCGCAGGGGCCTGCTCGTAAGATATGTAACATTGATCTGGCGAGTCAAAATGATAGCTGGCCAAACCTTCCAGTTTGATACTAAGCACGCACACACCGTCACTCTTTTCGTCCCCCACTGGCCGCGCCTGTCTGTCCATTCTGGACGAAAATGCAACCCCAGAGTTCGCGAACATCAGGTTGCACAAGAAGCTCGTTGTGTTCATCGCGCAGATTATAAACACCTTAACTCCCGTTTACACAACATGACATCAATCGACGGCCTTCGTTTGCACTGTACTTCGCGCAGGAGAAACTACCGCGCCGACCCTTCGTGAACCTTCTGGAAGGTACCAGAACCAACACCGCCGTACACAGCAAGCCACAAACTACACGAAACGGGGGTGCACCACAGCATTCTCATTTTCCTACCGCTGGGCTTTCACAGTTTTTGCTTTGCTTTTGGAGCCTCGCCGCCTCGCCCTGAGAGTCTGAGCTGCCACTGAGCTGCGATCGAGACACTGATATGGATTCGGCAGAGCGGGCAGTCCCCGGCCCATTCGGGCGCACGGCTCTTCAGCACCTGGATGATGCAGTGGCCTTTGTGGTCGGAATCTTCGACAACGGCCGCACACGATTACTTCTATCCGAGCAGCGACAGAACTTGTGATTACATGGTGCCCACAACGGATCCTCGGATCGTAATGCTCAGTGCTCGCAACACATGCTTCCCACATGTCGCCATGATTATTCCCTGCATTGACAAGAAACAGGCCCATGATGTGTGACAGCACGCGCTGATACGTTATCGGCTCGCCAAGCGTCGTGGATCACTTGCAGGCAGATCGGACACTCGGGCATTTGGCGGAGGTGAGTCTTCCAAGCGCCAAGAAGCCGCAAGAAGTTCTGAGATTTTCACTACGATTGAGATTGACCTGAGCCCTCGTCTAGGTTTCATCATGTCTCTAAGCCACACTGTTCTGAGCAACCTCATGCTCATGTGCTCAGCAAGTATTCAACGCGTGGCATCTACAATCTAGAAGCCTGCGCAGCTGCAGCCAGTGGAGCCCAATGCACCGGTCGATCGACAACTGTACCCCGTCTGGTCAGGTCTGTACTCTTTCGCTCGATCCTGTAGTTCATCTGCTCAGCTTTCTCACTCTCTCCGTGTACTCCAAGCTGCAGCACCTGGAAGTGCTTCAAGGGCAAGTCGTTATCATCTCGACCGAAGGGGTTCTCAAGCTCAACTCCGATGTAGTTGAGACAACACCTGACGATGCTACAGAAATGCCTCCAGAAAGATTGTCTGCTGAAGAATTCGCGGAAGTCTGGAATCTGCATGCAATGGATTCGCTCCTATGAAAAATGCCTTGCCATCACATCCCAGCATCACCACATAAAACCAAAGATGCTGGGATCGGAGGGGACGAACACGATTTTATGGCTCTTCTACGCTCGTAGACAAATGCACAGCGAGCTACACAACCTCAGCACCGAAACGCCACCTTGCTGCTGAATGGCTCTTGGGCTCTTGGACTGCTCAGCAAGCAGATCAGCAAAGCATAACCAGACATCAGCGGAGTGAGTCACAAGCACCACAACCAAGGGTTGTTGAGTTCACGCAGGCAGAAGCGACTCAGCGAGCTGGGAGCTTAAAGCCAGAGCGCAAGAGCAAGTCAACGCAAAGCAGTGGGAGAACGAATCATGCCTGGCTTGGATGCCGTCCCGAGGCCAGAACATCGAGAAGATTGGAAGAAAAGTGAACGTGAAGGCTAACCATGCCTCAGAGCACGTCTTATATAGCGGCGCGAGAGCATTGGCATTATGACAGCCCTGTCAAGCGATCCTGTGCTGAGAGGGATGCTTGCGAAATCACCGCAGAAATCAGAACGGGAAGCAATACCTTTCCCAGCTGCACATCCGAGATAAGTCAACAGCAACGGTCTCCTACAGTCAACCTGGCTTAGGCCCCCGCAACGTGCAAAAACCTTAGCGGAACAGATGGATCGGCACTCACACAACGAGTGACGAAGCAGGGAACGGTGACAGCGATGCTTCTTGCAGGGAGAGCGGCAAGAGCGCCGAAATGAGCTGCGCGAAAGGGAAGGGAAACCTGGGACACGACGTGTTCATGCCAGGAGGTTCGAGCAACTACACAGGCCGGCCTTGTATCTGCAATTTTCTTGGCATTTAAAAGATTCACGAACCCTCTGGAGAGGGTCTGATAGACTCGAGATAGGATAGGGGGCTGCACTTTCCTTAGATGCCATCACGCACTGAATTGCCATTCTGGTACAGATTAGATGCCTGACACAGCAAGATGCAAGTCCGCGATCAAGCGGTCAGTATCTGCTGACAAGCATCAGCACCCCCACATCCAAATTGTGAGTAATGAGCGACCTTCGCACGACTTGCTGCACAGTCTGCACACGGGCCCTCGAGTCAGCTGATCGCATTGCGTGGAGGGGCTGGATCATGTGCAGCAGCACCTCAACCCGATTGAAATCGTACTCCTGCCAGGGCAACGTTGAAGACGGTCCGCACGATGTGCGATGCTACGGAACGGAGCATGAGCTTGTAAATGCAGACTCTGCTCTGGCCTCTGCACAGTCTGTCAAGTGCTCCAAGGTGCGAGTGGCCAAGCCATGCGAATCCTCGGGAGTTCAAGCCCAAGCATGCATAACATGCCATCTTGCTGATGGCATGAATCTACCCTTCATCACTTCATACAGGCATCGATGGTTTCGCAAAAGTCTCCATCTTCGCCTTTCGAAACGGATGCGACACGCTTCCTGTCGCTGAAACAGGCACCATGCCTCCGATCTCCTCCAATGCACTTCCATGGCAGAGGCTCATCAAGCCTGACTCGAGATCACAGGAGGCCAGCGTCGGTGCGCTTGTCGCATCGAATGATGCAAAGCTAGCCGTCGAAACCCTGAAGAAGCCCTTACTTCAGTCCCGTGACGCCTCAACGCAAGGTCAGAAACTAAAGTGCTGCACCCGAGCAAATCCCATCAAAACAATAAACCTAGGAAGCAAAATAGATCCAAACGCTGCAGCTACGCCCCCGTATCGCAATTGCAAAACACTCCCAAGATTTGCCCAACTTTGCCAAAAGAATTCCCAAATCCATCCAAATGCTGAACCCCGCCCTGACTGCGGAACTCTGCTCCTCAAAACGTCAGCCCATTCCTTACACCTGCAGAATGAACCCTCAACCATCTTCTGCAAGCTGCAGCCAAAACAGCCTGCTGGGTCTTCAAGATCTTTAGCAGCACTAAGGTCCAGGCGCACTATCGCATGTCGGAATCGCATTGTGTCTTGGGGCCTGAAGACATTTTGAGCATGGCCGTCTTCCAGCTTCCCGAGTCATCATGGCACTGTTGACGTCTAGGGGTAGGGCCTGCTTACCATTGATGCCCGAGAGAATGTCACGCAGCAACTCACCGCATCGAACCATTCTCCCCGCATCTGAGCATGCAGCAGCCATGACGGTAGCAAGTACAGACTACCAGATGAGGTGCCATGCAGACATGCACGAGTGCTCGCAGCTGCAAAGAGCATGCGCAGTCCTGATGCAGCAGGCCAGTCCCTTCCCAGAAGCGCTCCATGGCCTTCTCTGTGACAGCTTCTCTTGCGCCGGGACAACACGAAAGCTGATCACTAGACTCTAGATCTCTGTCTGTAGGCGCATGGCCCTGTTGATGCGAAAAACCAGAAGAGCATGAAGGACACCTGTAAAGGCAAATGCGCTGTTAGGTATGCAAAGTCACACAACTTCGCAAATCTCTGTGTCTTGACAGGACTCGGCCTAAAGAGATTATCCATAGTTGACTTCGATGAGCATCCATCAAACCAAGCTCCTGCGAAACCAGTGGAGGAGCTCGGTCTTGCGAAGACTTTTTGGACTTTGTGTGATGTCCTGCCGCAGGTCGAACTCCAGGACATCTTGGGCCTGTTATTGAGACGTCGGTTCTCTGCCTCGCGGTCAAAGACTTGATCAAGGCATTCAGCCTGCACGAGGAACACGGTGATGAGGGCTGCTGGCAGCGCAAAGAGGCAGGATCGAGGGAAGACGGATCCTGCTGTGCGTGCTCAGGACATGTTCTGGAAGCAGCGTTGCATCTGCATACAGCAGAAGGTAAATCCTGCTGATCTGTCTGTGCGCTCAGCCTCGTTCACTATCCAAAAGGCAGTTCGAGGATTGGCATCCAATCAAAATCGCACTTGATGATGCAGCTTCAGTCCAGGATCAATGATGCAGTTGACGGTTCTGGGTTTTATCAATCATCTTAGGGCGGCATCCCCTTTCCAGTGAGTTGTTGCTGCCAAGCAAGGGCCGTGAGGGGTGTGCCAGCACAGCTTTCGCACCCACAGGCGCATCTACACAAATGGATTTGTTGACCAACAATCCTATATTGAGCAGACGGGCCTTTCCACTTCAAGAGAGTGAGGATGAGCCATGACTCGCTGTAGTCAATCATCGGATGTCCATCTTACGATGCACCTCATGTGGACAAGCAACACTTCAAACAAATGAAAGAGGCGGCGAGAAACAGATCTCCTCCTGCCCTTCAATGAGAAACACGATCGCTTGACAACGCTGAGCGCTTCACTGCACGCTCTCTTCGCAGCATTTCCGACGTTGGCTGATAGCGTTGCGCAGATCAGCAAACCAAACCAGAGTTCAATGTGCCGACCTTTTGTATCTCGTTGGTTGTGTGCGAGCTGTCATATCTTCTGCATGTCTCTTCTCATATCTTCCGGGCGGCGAGAATGACGAACAACTGCACTTGTCATGCAAACAATTCCATGACCTCTTGTTCCCCATGGGCTCTACGAGCTGGAAACACGCGATTTGACACATGAGCAATTCCCGTACACACGCACAGAAGTCGTGTCGCAGCCCCATTCCTGACCCGTTCTAGCTCAAAGATTTTCCCGGGATGTAGCTGGCTGAACCTCAATAAATATATCGCACAGAGACTTTGCTGTGGTGACGAAGCCATGGGACCTCTTTCGTGTCCGACACAAATGAAACTTGAGAGGCATCCTTTGGCTCACTCTTAGTCCTGCGCTCAAATCGCTCAAGGCCAAGATCCTACTGCTCCAGCACGGGGCCTTCGACAGCATCCCCTCAAAAGAGAGGGGCCGATGGTCCGAGTTCCTTGTGGCGTCCGATTCAACCCTAACTTCTCACAGAAAACATCAGCAAGGCCTCGTTCTGCCCAGGAGCAACAGCGACCGACGCAAAGGGACGTTTCGACGTAGGGAGTGGTCGAGGCAGTGCTCGGCGCGAAGCAGCTGCAGCCGTGCAGCGCGCACGGCGTGCAGCGAGTCCCGCAGCGCCTGAGGCGCCTGGCGAGCCAAGAGTCTCTCCTCTCACGTCTCGGGCGTGCCTTTGCCGGAACTCAGCGAGAGCACCTCCATTTCGGCCGAGTGCAGCCGGACCACGGATCCCGCGGCATGAGACACCGAATCTTCCATCTCCTGGAGGTCTGTCCGAGCCTGTTTCAGACGCGTGCGGAACACAGCAGCTCTGTGCAGCATTGAAGGAACCTCTCGACAGCGCCGATGCGCATGTTTGAGATGAATTCGCTCGCAGAGGGCCTTGCGGGGGCCGCCCCTCAGAAAATGCCACACAGCCAAGAGCACTGTTCCGCCTGCGACACTTGCGCAGCATAGCGCTCGAAAATTTGGAAGCCTGGGCTTCCCATGGCCTTGCCTGCAGGCACAAGGGATGGAGTCATGCAGTGCCTCCTGAACCCCAGTACTTTGACATGCCTTGCCATTCGCCAGCCGTGGTGACAGCGAAGTCACCCTGCATACTCGGATTCGAGGAGTGCGCAGTCGCACCACCCTCCGGAACGATGGACTGAAACCTCAATAGCTGAGCAGGCAATGATACGACGTGGACAGGGGTGCAGCATGGGTCTACAATCAGACTCCCAAGAGAACCATCTTGCCACTGCCGTCCCGAGCACTGCTTCCAGAATGGATCATCGTGTGACAGTTGGTTGAACATGCTAGGATCCATGTTGAAGTCTCCGAGGAGGAGACATGGCACTTGCAACCTCCCGTCGGCTCCCTGACCAGCTACGGACTCCAGCGCAGCCCGCAAGGGTTGCAAATACTCGGCGAGCGTGATCCGAGAGCGAGAAATCATGCTCGGCACATGGAAATGCACCGAGCAAATGACCAGCTGTTCCCCGTCATTTTGCCGTTCCACGCGGACTACGAAATGCTCACGAGACACCGTCACTCGACGACTGGGCTTGAAGCTTAACACCGCGCTCTGTTGGCAGACACACTCTGCATTTCGCAGTATCAGGGCCGAGCAGGATTCTACCTGCACTCCGCGCCCATCTAAATCGTTTCGTCCACGTACCATGCGGAGGCTCAATGTTCCCAAGGCCTCGCAAAATAGCGGATCTGCTTCCTGGACGGCAACAACATCATAGCCAGAGGCCCAGCGCTGCAGTTCACCTGGCGAGTATCTCACCTTGAGGTCAGCTATTGCATCAACAATGTCCTGCTTGTGATATCCCAGTCTCTGCAATCTGGAAACCCAGACACAGTCCTGGGCTTTTGCGTCTGGACAGTTAGCAAAGTGCCTGGAATTTACAATGTGTGCTCACTGCTGCCCAGCATCTTTCTGGAAGTAGCTAGATTTCCTGTGTTGATTCCAGGCAGCAATCTTCCAAGGTTGAACGTGCAAAGGAAGTATACTGGAAACCTGAGACTACAGGCAAAGACTCCGTTGTAGCCGAAGACGAGAGAATCCGGTCCTTCTTGCTTCTTGGGGCCCCCGCAATCAACGTCACTGCGAGGAGAGAGATCGAGAATGTTCGGCCATGGCTTCGAGCCATGGCTCCGGAATGGATCCTTCAGCCCATTCTGCCTCTGACCTACATGTCCTTTCGTTTTTTTCATGTCGGAATAATTACAAGACAGGCTTTTGACGAAGGCCGATGTGTGAAAGCGCATAAATGCGCTGCTCCCTTATCTGCCTTCTGCCTGCTGGCAGCACATCTCCTTTTCCATGGCAGTGGTGGAGGCCCTAGTTTTGGCAGGTGACATGGGACTGCAGCTTGCAATTTTCTGACAAAGCCGCGAATGCTACAATAAAAGCTGCTGGTCTTGATTCTTGCACAAGATGTCCCGGGCAAAGTGGGTAGTTGTCATTTGAGACAACAGTTTCTGATGCAAATGCCTCTAGGTGGGCTATCTGCTATCTAGCTTCTACGCAGAAGTCTTAGCATTTCTTAGCAGAGAAGTTCCTGGGATCCTATGGTCCTATACGCCTTTCCTGCTTCACTGATTACCACGTTCCCCCTCCATGATTTTTGCAGGCAAAACCAGGAAACCAATTGGTGGCCAATCCTTACCTTGTCTTGACGCACCTTTTCCAGGCAATCGGAGCAAGGGGATATTCCCGTCCTGGCGAAGCACAGCTGCAGGATAGAGAAAAAGAGTTATGACGATCTGTGTAAATGTGAAACCCTGCAGCATGCAGTGCTGGTGAAACGGCACACGCGGAGCCAGTGCCACGAAACTTTCGGTAAGGATTGTGTAGACTTCTTGAAGCTTGTGCACGTTTCGACCTTGCAGCTCTATGGCTCCATCATGGCAAGACAGACTGACGCAGTTGCGTCAGTTGCGTCAGTCGAAGATTGGGGCTCCAACGAGACAAGAGTTGTACAAGTGCATTAAAAAGGACCGGGGCCCAGGGTATAGCACGCAAATATGGCGAGTCGACGCGTCTGACTTAAGACCCATGTCATGTCAGGCTTAATCCATCCTGAGCCCTCTTTACTGCCCACAACCTGAATTACTGCTTCCGCAGCGATTTGCGCGAAGCTGCAATGGGTTTGCTCGCATACTAGTCTCCGGGAACTGGGTGACCTGTCCTGGCCTGATTAAGGTACTTGGACTACGGCTGGGGTGGCGACCACTGGATATGAACAGGAATCATGGCAACAGTTTAAACGACGAGCTAGCGTCGGCCTTGGTCGCGAACGTGCGAAGACGGAGCTTGACTTCGTCCTCCAAAGCCTTGCAGCACGAAACTAAGCCCTCTACGATCTCGAACCCCTGCTCGCAGCCAGCAACAGGTACGCAAAACAGCCAGAGACTGAGACAGAGGGGGAGAGACAGACAGACAGACAGACAGACAGACAGAGAGAGAGAGAGAGAGAGCGAGCGAGCGAGCGAGCGAGCGAGCGAGCGAGCGAGCGGGGGAGATCGAGCAGTATCTGCATGGCGAAGAGGCCTATTGCCTTCACGAAGCGGCTGCGTCGTCCTGCCGACTCTCCGCTCGCAAACAATCCAGCTTCTGCCACACTATTGGAACTCACAGCACACACACCTTCGAGCAGACGTAAATTGACACACAAATCTTCTGACACGTTTTTGAAGCATGCAAGCAAATAGTCCCTGCACGTCCTTCTCCCAACGATCGAACTTATCGTCCACCCAATATCCGACCTTCTGCGCGATGATCCAGGGTTCAAGGCATCAAGACTAGGCTTGATGTTTCGCACAACATGAACAACAACTTGCAATGTTGCGAAATAGCCCTCAATTGGGAGGGTGTGTGTGTGTGTGTGCGGCGGGGGAATGGATGGATGGATGGAGGGATGGATGGGTGCTCTGCTTCTCGTTTCTCAAGCTGGGCACCTTTCTCTCCGCCTTTGCGGTGATGTAGGTACCGCGGCCTTGAAAGTGCAGCGCACGAGAGGCTGTCGAAGATTCACAGACCGGCATAGCCCGAGTTGATTAGGTGCCGCTCCATGTCTTTTGCCCTCTCTCCATTCTCCATCGTACGTTCGACCTCACACCCATGCACGGTCCGCACCAGGAGTCCATGCAGAGTCGACGAAGGGCCAAGCCATCTGGCCAGATGAACATGCCATGCCCATCCTTGAGATCTTCCTGCAAGCAAGCATGGAGACTTCAGGGATCATCCCTGGCAGGAGTCAGCACTGGCACTGGCTGTCCTTGTACTGGCCCTCGTAGACTAACATGCCTTTTTGAGTGTGCCAAACCTCACACGACAAACACTGAAAAGCCGACTCGGCTCCGAGTCACTGCTTGGGAACACACCATCTTTCCAGTTCCGGAGAAGCGACCCTTGCTGAACTGTCCTGGCAAGGACTGTGGACACTGGAGCAAAAGAGATAGAGACAGACGGAGAGAGAGAGAGAGAGAGAGAGAGAGAAAGACCGACAAAGACGCGTGCACGCAACAGGGACATGGACAAGGAGGAGGGCAGCACCTTCGTAGACGCGTCCGTCACTCCAGGTCTGACGGCCGTGGCCATCCTGTTGATCTTCCTGCCGTGGGACGTGGGAGGAAGAGGAGAAAGGCTGTGCCAGCACACCCAAAACGCGCGCGCCTTCCACTGGCCCTCGTACTGGCAGCTCTTCGACTGCCAGACACCATGACCTGCAACCAGCAATGCACAGCATATGCAAATTGCAAGGCTTGCAGGGTTCCGGCCGTGGCGCTTGCCATTCTTGATCATCCCAGTATAAGTAGAGCCATCCTGCTGAACTCGCGTTCTCAGTCACAGTTACAGCATCTTGCAGTGTCATCAGCCCATTGCATGTTGTACACTAAGTACGCCTGGCGAATCAATGTGAATGCTTGCTACTTGTAGAGTTGGCACAACTTGACGGGACTTCCGTGCCGCCCTCACGAGCAATAGGAGCCTGGTACGTCACGAATTGCCGCTCCTGCTCTTGGCTTCCGCTACCCAAGACCACAGCATCAATGGGCAATGCCACAAAGATGGATTCTACACCTGGCCTCGTCCGCTGCGATGTCGTCCTTTTTCGACTCCTGCCGTGCCCGCAAAAATGGCTCCCTGAAGATCTAGCTTCTCTCTCTCTTTCTCTTTCTTTCGCCAGGGCTAGGGTGTAGGGGTTTGACCCCCTACACCGCGCGCTTGTGCGCCCCCGACTGTTGCGGAGGTGGTTAAATGGCGATTCTGTGACCCCGGCTCTGACTGCTTAAAAAGGTCGAGCTCTACCCTCGACAACTGCATTCGAAAAAGCCAACAAGAGCAGTAGGATGAAAGTAACACGACCTAAGATGAAGATGATTAACAGAATACATTCGGTTGCCGTGTCGGGGGTGTTCCCCGTCGTAGGTGGTCAGGTATGGCCATGAGAGGTGCAGGTCAAGGTGTTCAGGGTTCGGGTATACGAGAAGTCGTACAATCGTAGGAAACTACCTGGTGATGGGCCTTGACCTTCATGGGGACGTCTCCCCGGCAGCCGGGCGTGTTGTCACGGCGGTGTTGCTACTGTAGATTTCAGGACGCGAAAGGAAACTCTCTTTCTCTCTTCTTCAACACTCTCTCTCTCTCTCTCTCTCTCTCTCTCTCTCTCTCTCCCTCTCTCGCGCATTCACGAGCTCGTGTACATCAACTAGCCGTACCTCTGCAGCGTTGGCTGCAAAAGAGCCTTCAGTTCGGGAGAAGGAGTGCTTCGAGATAAGAGACAGTCGCAAGGCCTCGCCTGCTTCTAGAGACTCTGGTTTTATGTCCTGTGCGCAATCGCCATGCTGCAGCAAAACCCAGTCGTCAGATCACGAGCGAATTAGCATATCGACAAGCAAGTATGTCCTCATCTTTCATACCAGGAGCTGGCACGGGATCAATGCCTTTCACCTGCAAGGACTGCCAATGGCTGTGGATCTGCCATTTTTGTGCCAGCCTCATCTCGCAGAGGATCAATAGGTCCGTGGCCCTCAGACAGGAAGGCGGCATGCCGACTACGTGCAGTCGAGACAGAAACCAGCTGCACAGGCACGCAAGGCTGTTAAGCAGGGTACGGGATCGTTTGACGCGCCGGTACCACAGCAGCGTGAATCTGACATCAGCTTCAGACATGGTTGTCTCTATCTTTCTCACCCATTTCTATCCTCCAGGCTTTGTGAATAGATTGGGGGGCTCATGGTCCTTGCCATTGGCACATCAATGCGGTTGAGGATATCGTTCGCGCAGGGATGCTTGACTTCTGGTATCGCATACGGATCATAGGGCGATGCAACGCAGGGGCCTCCACCAGATGAACAGCACGTTCCTGTGTTTCCCATGGTGGCTCCTCAGCTGTGGAAATTCAAGACCGAAGGGTCTCGACCCGAAAGGAAACAGAAATACCAAATTGAATGCATCCCAAGCTTCAACGCCCAGCTTTGACTGAGCCGAAGCCTTGAGCCCTCTGGCCGAGAGCACTGAACGAGCAAACGAAGACAAGCAGGGAAACTCTGAGTTTGTAGTTCTCACGAGAATGGGTGGCACTGATCTCACAAGGACATGGAACAGCAAGGCGCAACTGATTTTGGCACGTGCCACTAAATTCGCGCTGGGTCCATACGACCATCAAATCTACCAGCACGATTCCTGAAACGCAGAGGTGCTGAACCAGTAAACATAGGTGCTGGTCACCAGCACCTCTAATGACCAGCAAACTTTGGTGTTGGTCAGGTGCCACATCGCTGCAGCAGGCACAGTTCTCACAAATCTGCTCACAGCAGAACATCCGAGGCTTGGGCAGCCATGTGCCGTCTCGAAACAAGGCATAGGCGAAGCAATCTCAGGTGGTCTGCCCCGAGTAGCCCTGGGTATTCAAAAACGGCCGTGGTTGCACTGTACAAAAGCCAGAGCAGTTTCAAGGGCTGAAAAGTCCAGACTACTGTCTCCGACCCCATAGCACCCATCCCAGCAGTGTTGAAGTCGAAGTGGTTGCCATGTGAATCGGGAGAAAATGATCTGTCAACATGTGCTGCGAGGCACAGACAAAGGCACACACGAATCTGCTCCAGCAAACCCGCCAACACAAAACCTATGCCAAGGGGTTCCCAGGGCCGCATATCCGTTCCCGGACATTACGGGGCTTGAGGCTCCGGCAGAGGTGGGCAACGAGGACTGCACCTTCCAATGTCTTCCAACGTTCAGCGAACTGCTCAGCAAACGGCTCACACATAGCTCCAGGAACGCACGAGATGCCTTCTGCAACAGCGTCTTCATGGTTGCAATTCGGTTCGCTTCCTCTTGAGCTTGACGCTTCGCCTCGCAGGAACGGCGCAAGTATGATTGTATAACATTGACTGGCCCCTGTCGACAGCCTGCCTCGACCCTACCCAGGAAGGGAAATCGAGCCTCTACCTCAAATCGACGACAGCGCTGGAGAGCTAGCCTCGGCCATTTCCAACTTTTTCCGGTGCGAATCTTGTTCCTTCTCTTGCTTTAGGTCCTGCGAGAAGAAGCAAAACACACTATCTGCACCCAAACTTTCGGAAGCTTTTTGTCGATCGGCCTCCTCTATCTTGGCGCGCCGCTCCGCTTGGCGCTGCTTGTGGAGCCGCTCCTTTCAGATGCGAAACGAAAGCATGAACATTGCTGTGCCAGTCTCTGAGTTGTCCTGCTCGGAGTCTTCCCCTTCGTTTGCTTCGTCGTCCGCTTTGTCTGCAACTTGTTCCTGACTGCAATGCATACCGGACCTTTGCAAAGACGAGTCACAGTCCGTCCTTCTGCTCCTCTATCCCAGGCTTTATGCCTTTCTTCAGTGCTTGTCGAGCTTTCTGCTTCGCCTCTGGAGAGAAACGATGAGCTGGATGTGAAATCGTGGCAAGGTGGCACCATCATGCTTTGTCTTCCATCCCGTGCATTATGCCTGCCTTGTCAAGGAATAATTCTTGTCAGCACTCTGTTTCATATTGCTTGGCCATTTCGTGTACTTGTTCTGTCTTTGATGCATTGGTGGTTCTTGGTATTGTTCTTCTTTTGGCAGTCAACCCCCTGAATTCCTCATGCTCCTTTGTTTGAGCCCTCTTCTCTGCTTCTTGCAGACTTTCGCTGCTTGCTTTGCACGTTCACCATTCGACCCGCAGTTCTGCGAAACCCACAGATAAGCTCTTCTCAGTTGACTTGTACTCCTGATTCGGATTTTTTGGAACACTCGAATCTTCCGATGTTTTCAAAGGATGCTCTGTAAAAACGCGGATGCACAGCCCACGGCAACAAGTGAGCAAACACTGCGAGCACCGAAAGTCCTTCTTGCTGAGCTTCGGCTTCGCCTCCTCCTGCTGTGCCTGGCCACACCAGCCCTCGAAAGCACGAGAAACGATGCAGGATGCCAGGCATAGATGCAACTGCAACGACGCCTTACCCGTTGGACTCGCTGTACCAATCTAAACTTGACATCTCTTGCCCTTGCTCTTGCAAGCATCTCTTGACGATGCGAAGCGAGGTGTGCAAGAGAACAGACTACTTTGCCTGCAAGAGTCTTTGCTCTCGCTCTTCTTCCCACTTTTTGTCGGCCTCACCACCAGAGTTTCTGCATGCAAGAAGATTGTTCAGTATGCCTGGATCGTGCGGCAAGTCGGCCCAAATGCCTCCTCATATCTTCTACGTTGTTCGTCGCCCTTTTCGCGACATCGCTGGATTTCAGCTCTCCTCTCCTGCTGCGGACTCGCGAGCGACCCAAGGCCAACTAGCTGCTTCTGCTAGAGTTTATGGAGAGCACGGAAGCCTTGATGTTAGGATCATCCAGAACATCAAAGTAAAGGACTTTCTTGCCACCGTAGGTCTGAAAATCCTGCAGATCACGGCAAGTTGGCAAAGCCCGCACCACCGAGTAGTTATCTGCCCTCGCTCGCCTTCTTCTGCGCCTCTGTCATCGCCTAGGGCATGTAGGGAGTGGGCTGCCACACAGGTGCATGTCGCCTGATGCGAGCGGCAGCCAAGGTGCATTTTGACACCTTGGAAAAGGGCACCGCGCAACAGAGAGCATCAGAGCACTAGGATGTCGCCGGACACCCGCAACCCCAAGCTGATTTAGCTGTCCAAGTGAGGCACAGGATCATGTTCGGATCGATTAGGAAGAGGGCGCCTCTGCGTGGATCCTCCATCACAGCTCACCACAGCTAACAGCTGGGCATCAAAGTTACCTCCGGGCTCGCCTCTGCCCGCGCCAGATACTGCGACTCGAAAAATGCCTCTGATGTTCTCCAGACTCACACTTGGCCACATGCCCCTCTTGGATGACCAAGGGGCATATGTGAAGGCGCCGGTAGGAAGCCGGATTCCGACTCGCTCGTAGGCTTCTCCCTACGAAGATCTGTGATGCGACACCAGCAAGTCCAACACGACATGAAATCACCATTTGTTCGAGCGAACCAGGTCCTCATCGTGGCTGATAGGAGCCGCTATGTCGATACATTTGACCTCATCCAGGAAAGAAGGAAGGGCTTTCCTCTCCATGCAGGCCATTGACTGGTCAAGTCGAGAAACCGCTACGCTGCCATTGCCCGCTGTCCTTGTCCTGCACAGTACCGCAAAATTGCAGCCGAAGCATCACCAGCATCATGCACTCCAATTCTCCTGCCTGATTGTTGGAATAAGGAATCTTTCCACACTCCCGCAATCAATCACAATGCCACATTCCTCCAATGGAGGCTTCTTCAGCCTCTGCAGCGAAATTGCAGATAGGGTCCATCGCATCTCGCATCACATGCCGGGTGACAGCTGCTGCTTGGCATAAAAGCTGATGTCGACCCAAGGGACCTGCAATGGACAACACATCATGGCATGATTGTCCATCCCAACACGGACAAAGGACGGTCTTGACAAGGTGGGGCAAAAACATTCGCCTCCAGCTCCGCAACGAAACATTTCCCGTGTGGATTCACAGGGTTTGCTATGTCCTCTCCGAAGCAAGGCCGGTGGTGTGGTGAATGGATGAGACACGCTGCACAAAGCCTGGATGAAGGTCATAATTGCAGACTCATCGTCGAAATCGTACTCGATTTCGCAGAGCTGACAATTCAACAGCCGGAAAAATCAGGATGAACAACGAAGCAAATCTGCGTGGCTGCTCTAGTGCGCCTCATTGGTGGTCACCCTGCCGCAGCAAAGAAATTCAGAGGCTACAAGTACAAGCATGGCACCTTAAGCTACAGGCTTAGGCTTAGGGCTTAAGCCTTCCACCAACTTGTGAAGTTTCGATCATCTGAGCGTTTGCATCATCAGACCTTACTACCACCGCGCCTGGAAAACGTCGGCAAAGGCAGATGCCTGGGATGCATGCCTCGGCCTACAACTGCTTTCCAAGGCAACTCGATGAAACCGCCGAGGGCACCATTAAGGATGCCCCAACTCTTAAGCTTACATTGGAGACGCTGGGACGGCGAAAGCATCTGAATGGAAGCCTAGAGTCCTAGAGTGGGTCTTGGTGTTTCTGAGATAGGAGGGTCATGCACCGAAAAGGTCGCGTCTAGTATGCCGGTTCCTGCTATCTAGCTACATGCGCTCCTCTGGTCATGAGCTCAAGACGTCTACAGTCACTTTTGCATAGACAGCAACATTTTTTCTGTCTGCAACTAGGTGTTGGCCCCGAAGCTTGAAAGTGCACTCTCTATAGGCACGAAAGCCTTGTGCTTCTGCAGTGCTTGCTGAATAGTCGCACGTCGGTTCAGGGCTCAGTGCCGTGAAGCCAAGCTGAAGCCGTGAAAGGCTTTGTAACGACGGCAAAGGCAGATCATCTTCGCAAAATAAAGAAGCTGAGACAGGCAGAAAACTCTCCCTGGCCAGGGCCAGGACTTCTTTTCATGCACCAGATCTGAACTCCCGATGGCTGGTGACTGGCGCATAACATGCTGGAGCTTCCCTTCAAGGGAGACCCAACCTGGAACTTCAGCCCGAAAAAGTTTAGAAGCTTCTGAATCTCACAGTTGCCCACCAGCTGCCTCAAATCACCATCGGCTAAGTACTCGGACTCGGCATGGCACTCGCTTCGACATGCGCGGTGCTTGCCGCTTCAGCTACAGGCTTGACCGAACTTCTGGCCCCTTCCACAACCGTGATCTCGAGTTCTAGATCCTTTCGGGCGCTCCTGGTGATGTATCGAACAGAGCAGCCTTTGGCTGATGCACCTTCTGAAGCGATGCGTCATTGCTTTCCGCCCATGTCACCGCAATTGAAACTCTGGAAAGCAGCGCTCGAGTGCCGGCGATCCCTTACTGTATCAAAGCGAAGATAAGACTTTCACAACACCTGACTATGCCGAATTCTCGTTGCCACGGTACTCTGCACAAATACCCGGCAAAAGGCATTGCCCGACACGGGCAGTCAGCTGTGAAAATATATGATGCATCTTTTCCGACACTACGCATGGGCTTTAAAGAACGAATTAGATGCTCAAATTCGCTTCCAAATTCGGCTCTGCGCGTCAACCCATCAACAGCAAGCCGGATTTCAGCTGCTCATCCTGGAGCAGCTCCATGGGCGGCACATTCCACGCAGTGACACAAGGCGCGAAAGGTTGGCCCAGAGTTGACACAAAGATCATGTCTCAGGCATGGACTGGATCGATGTTTCTGCCAACGATGGCACGCCGCAGAGAAGCAAGGTCTCTCCTTCCGAACCACAGGTTTCGACTTCTGGCGGCGTTGTCAAGAAATCTGGTGCAAGATGCCCACGGGCGATCGTGCCTCGCATTCATCATCTGACCAAGGTTTTTCCTGACACGGCCGTCTTACACCCCGGGCGGAAGTTGAAGCGAAGTCAGCCGACCCGAGGCGTTGGCCGGATGTTTGTACATTTGTGCTGCATCTCCAGACCCTCTGCAGCCACCTTGTCACTCTCCTGACACTGGCCACGCTTGGCAGCATCAAGTACTGCTCACCAGCCTTTTTCTTGACTGCAACACAATCCTCCTTCAGTCGGGAGCGAACGTTTTCAGCAACATGATGACGCATCGGTGAGTAAAGGCCTCATCGTCCAGCATGGAATGAGTGCTTCCGCAAGCTGCACTTTTTCTATATGTGAATCTTGGGCTGACACCTTCTTGTTGCATCAGCTTGTACAGCTTGGACCTACACAGCTCTCGCCGGGCAGGAATACGATTGCATCATTCCTTTTTTGTGGCTCCTTGCACTTGGGATTGGAAGGGTCAGGGAATGTTGCATCAACTAAGATGCGAGGTCCAAGATTCAGGGTCACGCAGGATTGGTATTGGTTTGTTCTATCCATGCCGATTACAGAGGTGTAGGGCTTCGCATCCGCGCCTCTCATTCAGGGCTTCTTGCTCCTCGAGCATCGCCTGACCGCTTCGGGACGCAGCCTCCTGCAAAGGAGGACTCGACCCACCTAGCCTGGCCGTTCTCGATGAGAGAATCTGGATGACGGCGTAGTACCGACCAGCTGGGTGGACGGAAGTCCTGCATAGCCACGGCCTCCTCCAAGAGATTTCCACTAGGGGCTGCAGGAAACGGAGTCAGCTAATGTCACGGCCTGATGAAGTCTCTCCACAGCCGATAGAAGAGTGTCAGCATCCTGCATGTCGGCTCGTGGCAAAGAAAAAGGAATTGTGCCTCGGATTGTGCCTGGGAGTGCTGGCAGCTGCTGGATCGATCCTTCGAGGCAGGACTGCGGCAGTCTTTTTTCTCTGTCTGCGTCTGGCTTTGGCTGTTTCATCTCCCCTGCTTGCATGGTGTACACGGAGCAAATTCCGCAACATGAAAACAGACGTCTGAGCTTGGGACCATGGAAACACTGTTCGTTCCTGAACTGCGCACACGGCAGTATACAGTATGCAGATGTATGTGAAGCTTAGATCTCAAAAGAGAACCTGAGCCTTGGACTGTTGACGGGAGTGGTCACAATCATCACACTGCCGCTGCCGTTTCCGCTTTGCCCTTAGAAGCCGAGCCCTGGCCTGGGCCCTGGCCGCCCTGGCCCCAGCCCTGTTCGCGCTTCGCTCAGCTCCCGGCCACTGCCCAGTCTCAGACGACTCCTGCAAACACGCGCTCTGCTCTGCTCTGCTCTGCTCTGCTCTACTGCACGATCGGAACTCTGCCGACAACTGCAGCGCAGCCAGTCATGTCAGGGGGAGACTGCATCAGGAGGGATGCTGTCGATTGATCTTCTCCTGCGAAGTGGAAGCACAACACCAACCGGCTGCTGGGGAAAGTGCCACGCGAAGCAACCTGGAGTGGACATCTGGCTGGCTTGGCGAATCAAGCCAATTTTGGGAGGCCTGCAGCTGATGCTCAAAGAACGAAGAACACGAAGAAGTGTCCCGAAGTGGCCAAGTGGTAAGGCTTACACTTCTCAACTTCAGCGAACTTCGGATCGCCCGCCTCTCATCGCGAGACACGAAGGCATGCGTTAAGCCGCAGAGTCGAAACGTTTCCCGAGCCTGCCAAGTCTTGGCAGCTGGCCGAAGCGAGGATTTCAAAGCCCATCGCTCAGGCTCCTCGAAGTACAGGTGAACAGGTAGCAGAACCAGCAAAGAGCAAGCAAGCTGGTTCCAAAGCACTCCTGAGTTTCCACGTCGCCGTCAGTGGATGCCCTGATAACCCACAAACATATCGCAGCTCCAACGCACCAAGTTTCTTGCGCAGGACCGCAAAGGTCCTTCTCCCCCTGAAAATCTCCACTCCGACTCCCTCTCTGCTTTGCGGTGCTGATCGGCCCACGTGTAGAGGCGTCCTGGACATGCGCAATTGAGGAAGTTGAGTATGTAAGACCATGGACGTGGCTGCTTCAGGTGTTTCGAGGAAGCACTCCATAAATTGGCAAAGATGTTCTGGCATTAGGCAGTACGCATTACCCGTAACCCCTTTCCTGGCTGGAAATGAGACATGGACGGAACCCGAGCCACCATGACGGCAATGCTCCTGACCCCCCGCAGCTTTGGCCGTTCCATCTCCAGGTCTTCCACCGCCCAGCCCTGACTCGGCTGAGATCTCTAACAACGGGCAGACAAAACGGGAGCAGGGGTTTCGGCCTCATGGGTCGACTCCAGGCTGGGAGAAGAGAAGGAGGCCTCAACCACACGGTTCCTGTCCCGGTCCCTCCTCTGCACTCTGAGACTCTCTGTCTCCGGGCAACAGGCGGTGAAGCCCGACAGAGGAATGCTGCTTGGGCCCATGGAGTTGGTTGGGTCGGCCACTGGTCTGAATCCTCGGGGCTACGACAACGCCCTTCCCGATTTCATGTCGAACGGAAGTGGTCTTATCGCCAGGCAGTGATACTCTGCAGCTGTGCATCGACGATGAGAAGAGCGTGCTCTGCCCCTCAGCACCGGCGACGGGAAACAAGAGAAGAGGCTTCGAGAAGTAGTGTCCGTCGTGAAGCCGCGAAGGGACTGCACGACTATATACATCGCCACTCATGCAAGCATACTCACGTGCAATGTCAAAGGGCTCATGGGTTTCCTACTCATGGAGAAAGTTGCGCTCGACCTGCTAAACGAAGGAGTGAAGCTGTTGAAAACCGCAGCCAAGACGCTCTGGAGACGATGACCTCCATTTCCGAAAGTCAGCTCAACATGCACCCAGATTACGTGGAGTTGTCAGCAAGCAGCTCCTTCAAGACCATCAATCCCTTGCCCCAAATTGAATGTTGCGCTCTGCCTGTCGTCCAGCTTCTTGCCATCGTGAATCTGTGAAGGAGCCACTTTACCTCTTGCTGCGAATGGTACAGAAAAGGCAAGCAAGCCAGTTGCCATACAGAGTCGGGGTTAAGATGGCCACTCCAGTAGGCCAGCTTCTTCTGTGAGAGCAATTGGGGCACCTGGCTATGCATCCACCACGATTCCCTTGCTAAATAGGCTGACTTACGCATCAGGATTCGAATGCGACAGCTTACGCTGACCTTGATAGTCAAGTCGGTGAACGCTACTTGTGTTAGACCGAATGGACTCCAAAGACTTTCTCGAAAACGCATCAGGCTGTCCTAATGGGGTCCTCGCTGCCAAGATCTGCGTGTCTCACTGCCTCCCCCACGCCCCAAGAGACGCATGCCAGCGCGGCCGGCGCGAAGGCACCAGTCTGGCGGCAGTCCGTTTCAGTCAGCACATCCAGCCTGAAGCCAAGTTTTCCGGCAATCTAACTCTGTGCTAGCTAGTAGTAGTCTTCGTATTCATCCAAGACGCTGCCGGAAGAAGCTCATCCTCTTCCGAATCCGGTCAAGCGTTTCCTTACTCAAGACGGAGTACCTCAAGGAGCGCGATTTTTGGATGGAGACGATATTCCAAACTAGCTCCACCTAGGGAGATCGCGAGGTCCTGGCCCAGCTTGGGCCAAGTCCTCGTTGATGGTATTCCGCATCACCGCCCTAAAGAGCTCCCATACGCTCGTCACACCTGAGATGTCGACATGAGCACTGCTATGCTCACACAAGCTTGTTAAACCCTTCGGGGTGGGCTCAGGCTCAGGTGTGGGCCAACTGCCTTCAACTTGTCCATCACACCTGCACCCGACTGCACCCATCCAGAGGCAGAGGCAGAGGGCTACGGAAAATCTTCAAGCAGCCCCAGCACTGACCACATAAAGGTCGCTATGCTGCTGGGCACGGCACTCCGGACGTTGCTCTTTCCATTCTTCTTCGGGAAGGACCACTCCGGACGAATGGCCTGCAAGAGGCTGCTGTTACTGTACATGCTTTGCAGGACGACGCGCTGATAGAGAGCGCGTGCCAAAGCGGCCTTCAGGAACTGGAGCAGCTCATTCTGTCCTTCAACAGAGCCTGTGTAATTCGTCTCATCTCTGCCTCATGCGATGGGTTTTTTTGCCAAAACAAAAAATTCAGAGGGAATACTGTGAAACTCTCTATAAAGCTTGTCTCGCGCTTGCGTGTTGCGTTTCAAGATCCTGCCCACTCATCGCTTGAAGCATGCAGGCATGCTGCCACATATGTGATTGACTGGGTTCAGGTCGGCATTTGTCAAATATTCTCCTTCATCTACACGCACCTTGCCTCCACTAGCTTGCGGAAGAACTCTACGTGTAGCAGGCACACTTCTGAGCAGGTTCAACTCTGCAATGTCTTATCGACTAAGTTGTTTCTGCTGATATGCTCAGCTGGCAGCTAAGTATACGCTCCTGCCGGAAAGGTTGCATGCCAAGAGGTTGCAGCAGCATATGGCAGCAGCAGGCTTTCACAGCAGTTGGACATTTGATGTCGAGTGGGTTTTTCAGCCGTCTACAGGCCACCAAGGCTGCAGCCGACATGCTTCCTGTCCAAATGCCCACTCAGCCACTCCGCAGGCATCAATGCACAGTGAAACCGGAAAAATGTGTTTGTCTCGTCTTCGGTTGAGCTACAACTCGTTGCCGGTATCGCAGAAGTGTTGTGACAGGGCTGTTTCTTTCCACATGACTGCTTGCATGACCCTCAAATGGCTGAGGCGAAAAAGTGTGAAAATCGTCCATCACTACAGCGTGTAGCAACACAAATTGATGCAGACAACAGGCTCTCCGCAATATAGTCTGCGGAAGTACGTTGCATGCGCCACTGCAAGTTACCCTTTGCCGTCACCACATCAGCTTGGCTGAAGGGCCTCTCACCATGGCAACGAACTATTTACCATGCGAATGCAAAAACCATTTCCAGGATGAGACGACATGATAGTCATAGTCTGCATGTTCTACAATAAACTGGCACGGAATTGAGTGAGACTTGACAATAGTGAAACGTTTAAAACATGGTCTCTACTAAACGACGCCGGAATCTCATCAAGCTTCTCCCCTGCTCACAAGCTTTCGGAAGAGGTATTGTGCCGACCCTGAGGATGGCGCAAACACGCGGACTTTTACCCTCTTGTGTTGCATGCAACCTTGCTGTGAACAATTAATTCTCAAAAGCTTGCAAAACCTGAGGCCTTCCGAGAGGGCGTAAACGCATACTTGTGGTCGAACTTCACCTGAAACGGAGCAGTCGGCCTCTAGAATGCAAAGCAAAATCAGCGAACACAGGAACAGCTGACCGAGACCTCTGATAATCCTCTCATAGCATGATGATCATGCCTGTATATTCCTGTCCTAGCCAATGCCACCCCATGCCGCTCTGTTGAGGAACGATAATACAGCGGTCAACTGAGCGTTGATCCTGAATCCGGAAGGGGATGCCATATTTAGGGGACGGAACACAGCAACATGAACTTAGGAATATCGCATCCGACGAAGCCTATGGCATGGCTGATACGGGCGGAGCTGTGAGGATCCCAAACTGGAGAAGGCAACATCATTTCTGCTTGAAGAGAAGCAACTCAGGAATGGAAGAAGAGTTCACTGCTGGACTGACAGATTTGCATGTCTGTCCCCCAGTGCCTGCTCCCCGAACGCTCGCTCGAGAAAGTTGTACTTATCTGCCACACAGTACGAATCGAAGGCAAACAGTTTGCAGGTTGACGCAGGCTGTCACACAGTGAGGAGATATGCAGGGGCGCGCTTTGGCTGTGATAGCGCCGGTATCTGGCTGCTTCCACCTTCTGCTCGGAATCCTCGGAGATGTTCCCAGAACGTGCAACGGCATAGAAAACGGCTCCAACACCGATGGGGCAGCGACAATCAAGATGCGATCGCACTCAAGCTTCCTCTGCTGTGATGTCAGGAAGGGACGGCTGTTGTTGCATGTGAAATGCTAGCACATCAAGGCGCACTCGTGTTAGTCGGATGATCTCACACACAGTCGGATGTCCTCTGCTCGTCTAGCTGCTGCATTAGCGACACTTGGATCCTGCAAGGTTTGCAAAGCCGTGACAAAGCAGAAGCAGACACGGCAACCAGCAAAGTCCCCACTTGTCCTTGCTTTGAGCTTGTCATTCTTTTGAGCTTGAGACTCCGTCTTTTCGCTCCGTGTTTCACCGACCTCTCCGCAAAGAACGACGCCGACAGTGCTGGGAGAAGCCAAACTTCTCAATGGCAACTTCAGCGAACTCAAGCCGATGGCAAGTGTTTGAGGGCATAGCACAGGGCACTTCAGGGCACAACGCTTGGCCTTTGCAAGCCTTGCATTGTAAGCTTCTTGGTTCTCTTGCAGCTTCGCCAAGGCCTTTCGCTCCTGCGGGTACTCCGATTACTGAGGCCCTTCTAAGTTCGCACGGCGGAGAAAAGCAGAGATGCGGACTAGAAAGCAACAGCAACGTGTTACACCTGCAGACTCGGCATGTTGCGTGACTGACCTTCTCCATTGTCTTAGTTCGGACCACGCACAACCGATCAGAGCTGAGGCCCAAGGGGGCTGCTTCTCCGTACAAGGGTCGACCTTCGGGACGTATTCTCGGGTCCTTCTTACAATGAACGGAGCAGATTCTGAGAAGCCGTGCTCGTGACAGCTGTTGGACTCTTTGCATCGACCAAGTGGAGGGCTGTTCGTACTCTACTGTTGTCTGCCCTGCTCTTGCTACAACAGCACCTGGACCAGGCTTCTGAGACACCTCTACATCAAAATCCAAATCACAAGGGGGCCAACATGAACAAACCTTTCAATTCATGGAGTCATAGAGACATGCTGAATTGACTGCGGCTCACCACCGCATCCTGCAGGCGCTGGTAGCGCCGGGCACGCCGCACGGCTGACTCCCAAGCCTATTCAACGCAAAAGACATGCACCAACAGGTCAACGGTTCAGAGTCGGGCGCCTCCAAACCCTCCGAGACCTTGTCCCTTTTGCGCTCTAGTTGCTCATCCGCAACGTCCAAAGCATGCCTTGTGATGTATTCCAGCAGATCATTACGACAGTACAGATACGTACAAGCACAAGATCCGAGCCTGATCTTACGCAGCTTGAACTCATCCATCACCGCAAGTCTCTCCTGGCACCCGAGTCATACAGAAGGGAGCAATCAAGAGCCTTGTGTAACAAAACTACCTGCAACAAGCACAGAAAGCATCTTGCGCGGCGCGTCCTCATTCTCTGCATCTCGGGCAGCCTTGCGATCCAAGGCATCAGACATTCGAAGCTTGTGCAGCTCCTGCAGCTTCGGCTGATGAGTCTGGCCAGACTGTATTGACAGCTGTGATTCTTCCTTGTACTTGGACTGTGAAGATTCGTACTCGCTGAACTGCTGGCTCACCTGGCACGATTCAGAAGCGTCTTTGCTGATGTTTCATCTCTCAAAGCATTCGCGGAAAAATGGCAAGCGCCTTGAAGGCATTCTTGGCCATACGCTCTTCTGCTGCGAGACGTCGATCCTCGAGCATCTGGGCGTCTCGTGCCTGGGCTTTGGCTTACGACGCGCGCTGCGGCGGCGTGCAACCTAATAACCTGATACTTGCAAGGCTGATGATGAATGCTGTTCAGGGAGTGCAGCAAATCACACATCATTCACTCTGAAACAGTGTCGCAGCTAGCCGCTGCTTGTCCTCGAAAAGAAACCACACTCTGACCGCAGCAAGACCCAGAAAGACAAATCATACTTGACATCTTTTGGGAGGTGCCTCTTTTCGACGATGTCGTTCCCAGACTTTCTCCATAGTTGGAGAAGGTTGGTCAGCTCTGATAGGCTCCCGTCTAGGCAAAGATCCTGCTGACAGTGAAGAAAACATCCTTGGCTGGAATGCTTCAAGTTTCGGAGACTGCGTCGAAGGACTGATTTCCCCAAGCATCTGCGAGTCGGACACAGACTGCATCGTGCTCGGCTGGGGACTCAATCCTGCTCACAGCACATGCTCAGGGAGCGCGCGAGCAGCTCGCCGAACAACCCTTCCTTGAGATGTCATCCGAGAACCGCTCAATCCTGTCCCCGGCACACACAAGCACAGCGAGAGAGAGAGAGAGAGAGAGAGACGCAGAGGCACAGAGGCACAGAGACGACATCGACGAGGACGGGCCTGCACCGGGGCCCCTCGGCCCGAAGAGTGACCGGATGCGGCTCTCTGTCCGGACGCTGTCTTGGCTCTCCTTCGTGCAGCGATCTGCGAGAGATGTGTGCCCGACTTGAAGCTTCGAGGTCCTGTATCGCTTCAGAGGCAGCGGCAAGCCGAGACCAGAGGCGCTGGGAATAGCACTCGATGGACACGTGTCTGTCCTCTCAGAACACTTAGCATATTTCATGCGAGCCGCAGCGAAACCCACTCAGATGATCCTTCCGGGCAGGTGTGAAAAAATCGATGAGCCTTTCTCGATTCGCATGAACGTTCTCGTCCTGCGTGTGTGCACTGATCTGGAGCAGAAATGAAAACAGCGGATCAGACCCGAGTCCTCGCCATCTTGCAAAGAAGCCTCGATGTACCATCGAGGATTCGCACGCACCATTGCCAGCTCCTGAAACAGGAATCTGCAACAGCACCAGGGCACACGTGCCAGAGTATGTGCCAGCAACGATGGCGGACCTCCAAGGAAAGCGATTCCAGAAGGCATCGCCGCCGCGGAGTTGCATCGTCTTCATAGCTGTCGGTTGCTGCACCGATTCCAAGAGCAAAGAAATCCGCATCTCCGGTGGAGGCATTCGGACCAAATCCACGCTGGTGCAGGTCTTCCCGGAACTTCCGAACTTTCTCCTGACTCTGCCTGGACGCGTTTGGTCCAACATGCCTACCAATCAGGCCGGATGCTGCCCTCAGCTGCCCTTGAGCCTCAAAGACTGTCTCCTGCCAAC